CTCGACTGCGGATTGACCCAATTTGTAGTTGAAGAAAAATATCGTCCGAAGTTGCTCTTTTGACATGCTTCAAAAAGTCTTGGGAAAAGGGGGTTTATCAAGCAATGGTGAAACGGCAATTATACCATCAGATAGCGCAAAAATTCTCTTCAGGATGTACTACTGAGACGCAAGGGAGAATGAGTTTTTAATCAGCAATGAATGTACAAAAAATAGTAACACAAAACGCTGAGAACTTTCCGGACAACCTAATACTTTGCCGCAGCGTGCACTAGCGTCTAGTAGCGTCCACTAGCGTTCCGAGCGTCGGCAGCGTCAGCGACTAGGAAAGTATAGATATCGATCTAGCGTCTGCCAGCGTCCACCAGCGTCTGTCAGCGTCTCGAGGGCAGGGAAATTTAGGTATCGGTCTAGCGTGCCAGCGTCTACAGCATTCACCATCGACCGGGAGTAGAGAGTATGGGGAAGTAGGAGGGTCCGCTGCCGGAAGTCTGTCGTGTTGGGATTTTTTAGCGGCCCTACACCCAGCCATGCAGGTGCTGTGGTTGATCGCCTGGTCCTTTGCAAGCGGCTTGCAGTATTCCATACCACGCTGGAACCATCAGCATGGCAACAGCACAGCCTCGAGATCAAGGTCGGGCTTTGAGACAGGTTCCCCCTTCTGCTCTATGTCGACTCACTGCCGTTCCCCAGCAGAACCCTCGTACTGACTGACTTTTCACCATCAGTCGTGAAAGAATCGAGAGCTTGATGCTCTCTCTGGAGCTTTGTCAGCCTACGTACATACCACAAGCGATGATTACTGTAATTCTCTGGGAGGCATGGGTCATCTCCCACAAAAAAATGCAGCTTCTCCTGTTGCAGCCCATCAAAGACTCGAGCTGGAGCGTGAGTGGAGGTAATCTCTCATCCTAATATGGTGAACTAGATTTTCTGAGTCAGATGCTTCGAGTAGAAACCTAGCAAAATTTGAAATCCCAATTTATAGGAGACCTAGTGGAGTAAACTGCTTAAGAAAACAACGCGAAACTTTTTCTAGTCTCATTCAAGCAAAGCCACTATTCCACCCTCCGTGGTAATCACGAACTTTCTTCGTATCCACTGCTCAAAGCAATGAAGGGTAATATGCAAAGAAAGAAACTTCTGTTGTTTTCAAGTCTACGGGGCTCCGGGAGCACTAACTGAAAGTTCCCTCTAGTGGTATACTTAGTACTCATCTTCTGCCTCTGGAAGGCACTGCAATAGAACTTGGCACAGAACCCCGAACTGGTTTTGTTGCACATAAATCTACCTCAAAACTGCGGTTCATGACACAACGAGCACATGACGCGAGAAAGGGCGCTCTATTGCCGTTTAAAGGTCGCATCGCACCGTGATACTCAGGCTACCGTAATGTGCACATTCACGTTTTGAATCCTATTTCTTTTAGGATTTTTACGTTTCTTTTGATCTTCCTGTGCACATAGTTTTGTTCCTTTAGTGGTTTTGAACGAGAACGAACCATGAATAAGATCTGGTGTGGTAAAGGTGGTTGCTTTGATTTCACTCCTAGTTCTTTCCTTGTGCTTTTCACTCATTAGGAACAGCTTCAGCTGTTTAGCATTTCATTCGTTTCTTCCAGTTCTTGCGCTGAATCAGTGAAACACCTTAGTTCATTTGGGTCCGACGAAGAATTTTCTATCCTTTCTGCCATTTAGCTTTGCTTTTCTTTCTTCGCGCCAATTTAGCTTTGCTTTTCTTTTCTTCGCGTGAAATTGAGTATTTTAACATTTTAGGGTAAAGTTCTGTTTAAGAAGTGCTTTGTTTTATGATGGTGGTTTACAGCTCAGGGATTGGATGTATTTTATACTTTCGCAAGTTCTTTTTGCAAGTTCATGTTATTTAACAGGTCTTACCTTGGTAATATTTAAAAACTCTTGTAAAGCTGCGTAATGGTACAAGTGTATCACAAGTGGTTACAGGAATTTACAAGTCTTGACAAATTAGCTTGTTCTGACTCCGTTGAGTGCCATTTAGTGCCCCAAATGATTATCGGTCGTAGACAACTTACTAATCAATTATTGATCTGTTCATACCTTACGGCAGTAAAAAACTGACGAATTGGGATATAGATCGATATGTATCTAATCCTTTTCGTCAATTCTTAACTGTCGCAAGGTATGGACGCAGCTTGATTTTCCTTTTTTTGCGTTATTCAAAAGGAAGTGTGACAATTCGTATGGTGTCTTTTGTTTAAGAATTATTACACGTGACTTCAACGAAGACCTTGATCTCATTTCTGCATGTGTTATCTCAGAAAGCTTTGTGTATAATTCCACGGCGCAGTTCGGTGCCGGGGGCAATTTTCGTTTTCGCTACTCCCCATTTTTGCTACTCTCGACGTCGAGCTGTGAAATGGAGACCTGTGAAATCTTGTTAAGCCCCAAAATGATACCGGCATAAGTTTGTAGAGACCACCTGACCACCTGTCAACTCTTCGAATTCATGTTGGAATTCATCAGAATTCATCTCATGAGCTTACAAGAGTTAACAGGTTTCACCAGAGTGAGACTTGTAAACCGGAACTAGTGAAGCAGCGAAAGTGCAAAATGCCCCTCCGTCGCCGAACTGCGCCTAATTTCACTTTTGGTTTGGTTTTGAACGCGGTTTTATTTTGTAACCACATTGCTATGACTTTGCCCGTGTTTTATTCTGGTGAAAACTTCTACCCCTTTGCCTTATCCGTTTTTTTTTCAGGGTAGAATGGGTCTCCACAATAAGCCCATAATCATCGACGGTAAGGATCACCTCCTCGGACGTTTGGCTTCTATCGTTGCCAAGCAGCTCCTTCAAGGCGAGAAGGTTGCCGTATTGCGATGTGAGGAAATCGCCATCTCTGGAAATTTCCACCGATCAAAACTGAAGTACATGAGCTTCCTCCGCAAAAGATGTAACATCAATCCCGCTCGCGGTGCCTTCCACTATAGATCTCCCGGAAAGATTTTCTGGAGGACTGTCAGAGGTTAGTGTTCCTTATTTCTTATCTTTTTTCGGGACCTATTTTAATTTCATAAGTTCATCAGTAAGTCTGTTTGACGAGCAAATTGAGACCAGACCCGATTTTAGCAGTATCTTGGAAGTTAATGTTTAGTTGCAGGCAAAAAATTTAACCCCCAGACAGGATTCATACATTCGCTTATGTAACTCAAGTGTGGTAACCATATCATCCGTGACTTCCCTTGCTGTCCCCCCCAGCTTAAAGGCAGTTGGCACGGTAAATCCCCCAAGACTAGATGGATTAATACGCCTGGCAGGACGGAATTCCGCGACCCTGAGCAGGCGCTCATAATGCCTTTTTTAAGGGAGATGCCCTTATAAGAACCCTATCAAGCCACTACATACCGACCCAAACGCCCGCCACGCCCGCCCGCCCACAAATGCAGATCCTGGCGCTTTAATCGATGCATTCATTTGCCAAGCAAATTGTGAAGCGAAGGGATTGGTATGAAGTACACATATGCAGCCGTACCTTCGGTAGCGGTTATTGGCAAGATGCCTACAGGAAACTCGTCCAAAATTGATTTCTAACACATTGAGAACGGAGGCTCTTTCTTCGCAGGATTTCACTCCGTTCTTTCGCCATTTCCCCACTATATAGCGCCCTACTAGCATTTTAGGCCGAGCACCAAATCATCGTGCCAACTGCCTTTAAGCATTGTTCACAGTCTGCGAACCTGTGTTTTTTCGCGAAAGAGACTTCCGCGAAAAGCTTTGATACGTATCAACTGGCGGTTCAGCGGAGCGGTTGGTCAAAAAATACTACCTCGACTGCCCTGGCGTTTTCGCTCGGGCTGAGTCTGCGAAATCGATGCTCATCTAACCGATCTTTTCGCAGAAGCGCCGAACCGCGCTGGGTTTCTCCAGAGCGGTTGGACGATTCTCCGATCGATACGTATTTATTGCTTTTCGCCGAACCTCCGATTCGTCAGGGTCGCAGACTGTGAACAATGCCTTAGCTGTTTCTTGCCATAATTTTTCAGCACTGGCACGTACAAGGTCCGAATCACTAAAACATGCTCAGAATTCACTAGGGCAAGTAAGGGGGTGTCAAAGAATGCGTTTCATTTTGATTTAGTGAGTGCTACTCTGATCCTTGAAAGATATTGTCTAAAGTGGAGTTTTGCAGCAGCAGATGGTGGGATACTGATTTTGTTTCTTAGTATTCGTTTCTGCTATTCCTTTTAAGAGGTCGTTTTCTCTGAAGTG